GCATTGTCGTACTTACCAAACGTATGTATTTAGAACACGATTTTCCACACTAAGTTTCACGTCTTATGCACACACCTGACTAATTCCTCACAACTTCTTATTAACTGTTCAAATAACTTACTGTCACGCTGCATGTCAGGGTCACTTCAATCCTGACCTACTCCCACTCATTGCTGGCCCATGGGGGTGGGGCCCCATGGGGTAGGTTTTAACATTTAAGGAAATGCAGTTGACCATTCTTGTATCATCCCCTTCCAGTAGACGCATACCGCAGTACATCCTTGGAGCGGGGGTGACGAAATTGGTCACTGGTTAACAGATGTTGGACAACACCGGGGAAATTTAATCCGACTTTCGTGATGGTCCGGTTTTTAAGATAGGCTGCTGTAACAACTGCTTCCCCCCAAAAACCTTCGGGTAATTTTGTATCTATTAACATAGTACGTGCTTGGTCCAAAATTGTACGGTTAGCCCTTTCGGCAACTCCGTTGCTTTGGGGGTTATAAGGGATAGGTCAAAATCTTTATTTACAAATTCGCAACCATTATCCGACCGGATTGCTTTTATTTTTCTCCCTAATTTATTTTCATTCTTTTCCATAAATTCTAGGAAGCTATGCTTGATTCTTACCTTTTACCACATACACCGTTATATACCTTGAGTACTCGTCTACCAGGACGAACATGTACCTTGCTCCTCCTAATGTCTCAGACGGCATAGGTCCACATATGTCCATATGTAGTAGCTCCAATGGGGCAGTGGCTCGCGTTCCTTGTAGCCTCTTATGTGGTCTTTCCGTCAATTTGCCCTTGATACACGATTCGCACAAATCCAGCTTCTCATCCCGGAACTTCAGATTCTTAACAGCTCCCCCGGAACTCATGTTATCCATCTACCCTTCGTTTACGTGGCCGAGTTGTCGATGCCACAGGAACTTACTGTCGGGTGAGCTCCTTTGTACAACCCTGTCTTCATTCTGTATCGAAAACCTGCAGCTTCTAATAGGTTTCGCCTTTAAAATATATATACCGTTCTTTTCGCATGCACGTGCAATTAGTTTTTCACTCGAGCTTACGATCAGGGCTTCTCTACTTTCAAATATCACTTTAATATTGTGTTGGATTAGCTTACTCACCGACAGTAAATTCGTTCTCAACTTTGGTACGTACAGCACGTCCGTGATTCTGATGCTCGTGTCTCTTCCTTTCATCTCTGTCTCTATCTTGATGTCCCCGACGGCCTCTGATTCAACTTCCCTATTATTGTCTGCTAAGTTTATTATCGTCCGGTACCTTCTTATGTTGGACATCCATTCTACATTAGGCGACATGTGCGATGTCGATCCCGAATCTAAAGTCCACTCTGCTGTCCTTTCTTCGTCCTTTTCCCTCCTAGTGAGGTACCTGTGAGGTATTCTTCTCTATCCTGTGAGTTAGTTTCATTTGAAAAATTGGCATGCTCTCGTCTGCCGTTATTATTCGATCTATAACGGCTATCATTGTTATTCGACCTCGGATTGTTATTATATGACGCGTTGTTATAAGTATTAAACGGCCTTTTGTACTTATCTCTGTTATTTCTTTCTGTTCGTCCCCTATCCTGTCGGTATAAACATTGACTCGCTTTGTGTCCTCGTCTACCACATACATAGCAACCGCCGTTGCTCGGCGTTCTTTGCGATCTCGCGGCACGATATGCTCCTTCTTTGTTCGGTTGAAAATCATCGCGTGTTGCTTCTCTTCGATTTATCCTGGCTTCTTCTTCTTCTAATACTCGTTGAATTCCATCTAAAGTATTCGGTCTACCAGCTCTTAACACTCCTTGCACTCCTTGAAGCGATGTTTTTAGCTCTTATTATGTACTCACTTACTGACTCTGATGGCCCCATACTAATATTTTTGAATTTCAGCCCGATATCGATCCGTCGATCACTGGTGTTACTAGCGTGGACCTCCCTCAACGCATCCCATATAGCCTTCGCACTCCTTTCTGTGAGAAATTGGCCCGCTTGGTCGTCCGCTAACGTTGTTATAATTAAGCTGAAGGCTTCATCATTCTTGATCTCCCATCTGAGCCTCTCCTTCGCTTCCCCCGAGTCCGGATTTGGATTACATGGCGGCTCTTCCTGTTCAATCACTTCTTTATATATTCTTCTAGTACGAAGCACTGCTGAGATTTTCAACGCCCAAACATGATAGTTTTTACCGTCGAACGGCTCAATTCTAATATTGGGGGTAGCTTGACTTTGAGCCATCGTTTAATATTTCACGAACTGAACTTTTCTTTCGGCCACGTGTTTCAAGCAAACCACGTTCTGCTACCAGTTTGTGGCAATGCTTGAGATTGTTTATTGTTTTATATATTAATATTCATTTACACAGACTTACACGACTTACATTCAATTATTCTCTACGGCTATCTATTTTATTATACGTGCTGCTTATTCAAGAACTCTCTCTATACTAATTGTTCTTCGTATAATTGGCACTGAGTTGTTCAGTTTAGTTGTAGTTCCCAAAGATGAGATTTTCTTTGTCTTCAAAGAAACCCGGGTTGTCCCTTGGCCGCTGCTCGTGAAACATCTTCTTGACCATCTTCGATCTTGATTGAATGTAAATCTTCAATTAAATTCTTTATCTCGCTTCACGGGATGTTTGCCGCGGGCTCGCCAGGGGGCACGGTTTTTATGCAACCTATTGGAGCCTAACTGGCTGCTGGTTGGCTGAAGGGGTCGCCAGTTGATAGATATGATGAATAATTCAAAATAAAATTATAGAATTATTATTTAAAATAATGGAATACTTAGCAAATAAATCGTTTGAAAATAGTTTTCATAGTCTTATTTGATAAACTATTTTCAAACAATTTATTTCAGAAATTCAAAAATTCATTACCGAAAATATAATTTATGGCCAGAAATGTTCGCTTGAAATTTCATGCGTATGTTTAAAATATTATAACTTCTGAACGGATTGGAGGATTTTAATGTTTCAAAATGCAAACAACGCATATTTTGGTGATGAATATGTAGACATTCTAGAAATATTCGAAAAGTTGTTCCTTAACCCCGTAAAGTGACAAAACCCCCAGAAAAATTGTCAATTTTCAAACGATCATAACTTCTAGAATAATGAACGTATCTTATTAAAATTTTTTCTGGAAGTAGAGCTCATGGATACCTACCAAAAAGTATTAGACAACATTTCATTTTGATTTAGATTAAAAATCAAATTTATATTGTTTTAAATTCGCAGCCATTAGCTCGGTGTTACCCATAATGAAGAAGTTCTTCTTCGTGGGTAACACCGATTACCAGGTCTCACCACGAGGAGGTTGCTGCGAGTGGAGACCCGAAGTGAGATCGATGGAATCAAAGTTCGATCGTTCTCTCTGTTACAGTCCTAGAAACTAGATTACGAAACTAAAAAGATGCCAAGTAGATATGTTTTTTAAAAAAAGGAGGAAGCTAAATTGTGGGAGACGCGAACAAGACAGGTGCGGACACGAACCGAATAGCGGGTCAAAAGGGTCAGCTCGTTGCCTCTTAGCAAGTCCAATTGAAGAGGAGGAGAATCGACGCACCTGACACGGGTTCCCCATTTCTCCTAAGCATCCTGCTGGGAGCCCGCAGGACCCAACTCGGGACGTCTGACAAAGAGAGGGATCCTTTTAAGGCGGAGTGGAAATCTTCCATAAGACACCCCGGGCCAGGCCCGGGGTAGTGTCGGATTCCTACCGACTAAAACCCCTCCGCCGCACTGTCCCCGGGGCGGCATTGTTTAACACATTACTTCGCTCCCGGGGCAGTGGCCGCCCGGTGTTACGCGGCGGCAGCGACACCCTCTTACTCTCCGGAGGGGCCACCCCACTGGTGACCCCTCCGGGGTATCCTCCTAGACGTTGGGGGGGGGGTGCCAATCGCGCCCCCCCTATTCGTCATCAGTACCCTAACCCGTAGGTTGGGGTACGTGTCGCTCTGAGCCCATAGTGGCTCGCCGTATAAGGGGTAGCACCCCTTGGGCTCGCACGCCCTATTCAGCCAAAAGGCCTTGTCAGTTTACGTCACAACATGTAAGAACGCACAACATATAAAAAACTACACAAACCTATACAGGGCAGGGACAAGACATGATATGTACCTATGTACCTATGTACCTATTGACCTTCTTGCTCGTCCTTCCCTCATATTCCGTGGTCCATATTGCCCACGGTGAATATTTTCCTCTGCATGGTCCCTAGTAAACCCCCTCTAAATGCCTGTGGGCCCCCTAATCCTCCAGACCCATACCCTGTGTCCCATCTCAGGGCACCGGTGTGGGTATGGGTGTAGCTATCTCTCCTACACACTGCCAATTAGATCCGACAGTGTCCCCCCTTTAACGTGCACACACTCTTATACGTCTGTGCACGTGTTCGATACTAAAGCAAAGTGGATATTGTAAAGATAATATAAAATAAGAGGTAAAATAAAAATAAAATAATATAAAGACAAATGATAGAAGACAAAAGGGTGAAATCGAAGTAAAGTACAAAGTGACTCTAAGTTAGCATAATGTAGTGATATGAGATGGCATGAATAAGCTATAGTATTAGGTTTAGTTTTAATAGATGTGTGACTATAGACCGATATTGATCGCGATGCTTATATAGGTAGATAATTGTAGTAATTTATAATATAATAATAATACCATATTATTATTATTAATAATAATAATAGGATATCGCGTCTATGTGCTACCGTTTTAAGTATAGGACCTTGTGAGAAATGTATGCTGTTGACATAAAACAAAAGGAAATATATACTAAAATGTAGTGTATCATCTGTCTAGTGAAATGTGAGATATATCATTGTTAGGGGAGTAGGTTTGAAAAAACCTCGCCTAACGGTGGTCCGGATCGTGAGGGAAGGAACGTAGTGAAAAGAATACAGATTTTAATTTAATTTTCGCTTAGTCGAATGACTCGACTAAGCCTTTTATTTGTAACGTTTGAAACAGAGATTACATAATTTTGTCTGCCCGGCCAGACGCCGCTGCAGCTAATCCTGTTTGGTAAACCTGTAACAGAAAGAGACACGAATAGGCGTTAAATACCTGTTAACGTGAATCACGCTGTGTGTCTTACTTTCTTCCGCGCTCGTCTGGTCTGTGCTTGTCGCACCCAGGAGCGGGGATCTCAGCCGCCGCGATGCGCAGCTAAGCTAGTGGACTGTATGTGTGAGCGTTCCCGTTAAATCGGGAATCGCTTGCTTATTATTGTCGTGTACGAGATTTCTGCTCGTCTCATTTCACGACTGCAATTCTGACTGCAATTTAAGACTTTGTTGTATGACTGTCGCAGGAAAAGGTGATCGGAGGGAGGTTGTAAGGCTCCAACCTTTCAGCCGGTCCCCGGCCCTTCACCGCCTTCGTAAGTGCGTACGGCACTGTGTGGTGCAGGCTTGTCAACGGCTCGCTGCCGGGCATGGTGCGCGCCATGCTCGGCAGCGAGGAGAAGTGGAGGGCCGTGGACTCCTTCTGCGAAATCGTAATGTTGCAGAAGGAGACCGCGGGAAGGGAGCGCGAGCGTCAGCGGCGTGCTGAAGCTCGCGCTCGTTTGGTGGCGAGAGAGCGTCGCCTGGGCGTCAGGCGACGCAGGCGGCCCCCTCGGCATGGCGCATGACCCAGGCTGGGAGGGGGGTCCTGATAGGAGCCCCCTCCCGCCAGGCGGGGTAGGGTCGGACCGGATGGGGTGGCAGTGCCTCCTGTCCGGGTCCGGCGCACGGAGCGGCACCCTCGGTGGCCTGGTGCGGCCATGAGCTGCCGGCCTCCGAGGGGTAGAAAAGGGGTCGCGGCGGTTGCGAGTTGGGGCTCGCAGCCGCCACTAGACGCGGCCCCGGGACGGATGGCGGCAGGACGATGTGGCCTCGTCCTGCCGCTATGAGACAGGGCGATTACCGGGGGGACCGTTTGTCCCCCCGCGGGTGGGCGCAAAGCGCGGGCACGGGGAGGATACCGGAAGTATACTTCGAGCGATTCCCGGTATCCTCCCAAATCGTGCGGAAGGGTCACCGTGGGGTTTTTAGTGGGTAGGTCCCGCGCCCGTTATAATGGGCGCGGGGAATCCCACACACCCCTCCCGCCTCTCCCCAAAGAGGTGGGAGGGAGTCTTTCGAAGATTTTCCCCACGAAAAGGCTTGTCAACGGCGCCCTTAGGTCGACTTACGGTTGTGCCTGAGACCACGTTGCTTTGTCGGATGCTCCGTCCTACGCACAGGGACCGTACTCCCTGGAGATGTTTAGACGTGTCCTAGCTTTCGCCGATAGCTGGGGTTTAAAAAAGTGTCCCGCTTCGACTGGAAGACGGCAAATCCACCCAGGGTATTATTCACTCCTGTATGGTGGGTTCGAAGCCGTTTCTGACAGCCAATTGGAGGAAGGAGTTTGTATCTCGATCCTCTAGTGCACGATGATTCCACTCAGGGTTTCTTCCCACACCTGGATTATGGAGTCGTGCACTAAGAAAAGTGCGGAAAACCTCGCACCTATAAATTGGGATGAGCTTAGCCCTCTATCCCTGGGGAAACGATTGAGTCCACTCAGGGTTTCTTCCCACACCTGTTTATGGATCGATTCCCCGGAAGCACTCGAATTACTTCAAGCCTATTCCGAATTAAATAAGTCTTTTTACAGAGCTCGGTCGGGTACCGACTGGCTCGATACGATAACTCGTGAATAATTCTTTTACAGCTCCGAGGGTAGTCGAAGAACTCGACTCGGATCGGGTCGCTCGAATTATTCGTGTATTCGACTGCTGAGCGTGTTCGGATACCGAAGTGCTCGTGGCAGTGGTTTGATAGCGAGTGACGGACGAGCACGAGCTGCCAAAGTGAGCGCGTGAGTGGGGAGAGTCTTCCGTCACGCGGCGCTGTCGCCGTGTCTCTCGTCCGTCTCTGTCTATTATAGAGTTTTCGTACCTTCTCTAAACTCGGGCGTTTGAACCGCTTGTTTCAAAATTGAACGTTAATTAATCGTTCGCGTGACTTTGCAGAAAACCTCGAGAACCGTGTTTTTCTGTCCTCTAACATTTTGAATAGCGGACGCGTCGACCTAGAATCTTCCTGGTCGGTCGCGTAACCGAAAACAAACCGGGTAACGAATTGTTTCGGATTTAAATTAAATTTCGCATTTTATCGATATTTAAACAGTTTTCATATAATATGGAGAAAGGAAATTAGAAGGTTGTGTAACAAGTCGCCTACTGTCGTAGTCTAATACAATAAGTAAGATAGAATGAAAAGTTGCTAAAAGTAAGAGCTAGTGATGGTAGATAGAGTAAGTAGGTACTGTAAAATACAGGAGACAGAATAAAATAAATGGATAACGTAGAATAATATCCTATATATTGTAGTTTAACTAGTCAGACTAGTGAGAAAAGGCTGTATACGATGTTTTATACAGCTGTCAAAATAGCTAGCTGAAAATGTGTATGTAGCCCGAGATATGAAGTGAGATGTGTAGCAATATTAACGTAAAACGAAACTTAGTTAGCGTATGATAACATAGATAAAGTGACAATATTATAGAGTTCTTTAAGAGAAAGAAAGAAATATAAAAATAAAAGATAAAATAGGTAACAATAGAATATATGTTTAGAATAATTAAGCTGAGATAGTATAGACTAGAATAGTATAGACTATTTGCAAAGTGTATACACTGGCCAGATGTTTAAAATTTAAGGTGTAATAACGTGATGAATAATACTATAACTTAATGTGATAGAGTGTAGTAGGTTGTTATGATCATAATATAAACTATATAAAATTGAAAAGACTAGACCAAGTATAATATGTACGTTGCTGGGATTTTCTAAATAAATAAATGAATGAAAGAAATATGTCATAAAATGTAGTGTGGAGTGTATATAAAATCAGGGTAGTATGCAAAAACATAACTATGAGGAAATAAAAGTAAAATAAATAAATGGGACTAGAATGTGTACTACTGTAAAGTATAAAATTAAAATAAAATAAAATAAAATTAGAGTCATTTTAAAATCGAAAGACTAGACTGTTAACAGCGTTATTAAACAATTTTGTTAAAATAGGTGCGAGTTATTGTCGCTCTCACCCTTTAACGAGGTGTCCGAATTACGAGGGAGTGGGAATGTGGGGGAAAGTGAATGGTACACTTGTAACTTTCTTTCGCCTAGTCAAGCGACTAGGCCGTTTATTTAAAAATTGAAAATTAAAATAAAAACCCAAAATTAAATAAACAAAAAGAAGAAAGAAATTTATATTTATAAAAAAAACCCACCACCAAAAGAAAACCGGGCCGTGCCTCAGGCCACTACGGCTCTCGTCTCGGTCTTCTGCAACAAAAGAAACCGAAATTTGGTTGAAAATAGGTGACAACGCTCGTCGCGTTGTCTGACTCGCGTCAATCCACACGCTCCTGTCTCTGTTTATGATAAACAGGAGCGGGATTCCTTCACAGCGATACGCAACTGTGTTAGTGGACTGTATACTTAAACGTTTCTCGTGTGATCGAGAAACGTTCGACTGATTAAACGTTTCTCGTGTGATCGAGAAACGTTCGACTGCAGTTCTGGAAAATTTTTATAACAGCAGATGGGGAAGACAAGATTTGAGCCTCGATCTTCCCACTGCTGCTAGCTTGAATTTTGGCTGGAGGTGACAACAGTTGGAGGTTGTAAGTCTCCAAAATTGTCCACTCCGTGATTCCGTGTCGTTTCCTGGTCCGTACGGGACCGGTGTGATGCAAGCCCTTAACTGCGCTAGAAGCGTCTGAAGGTTAAGGTGCTTACACCACGGCGCCCTTTTGAACGTCGCTCTACACCGAGTGTCCGTACACACTGGTGATGAGTGACCGACGTTCGAGCTAATCGAATTCAGCCGAGAGCACCCAGGGAATGCGCCGAATAAAGGCCCCTATGGGGGTGGTACTCAAACTGAGATTTCGACCCTCGGAAACGACAATCCCACTCAGGGTATACGCCAAAAGGCCCCTATCCGAGTGGTTGAATCGCACAAAAGTTCAAGGAAAACCGAGAAGTTTTTCTCGGTTCTCGTTGCACGACAGCTGATTACAGCGGTACGTGCCTTCCACGCAACGGTGGCGACAATCGAACACTATTTAAATGTTACGACGATTGTTATCAGCCACCGGTTGTTAATGTGGGAAATCGCTTTTGATTTGAAACAATCGACACAACGGTGGCGATAATCGAACACTATTAAAGTGCACACACGATTATGATCAGCCACCGGTTGTTCACTGTAAATTGTTTCAATACTGCGTTTTTCCAGAACGGTTCTGTACACACAACGATCACTAAACTCACGAAACCGTGAGGTACGAAATCCGACTAGGTTAATTCTTTCGAATTTACCACAGTCTTAATCTCGTTCCGTTTCGGTTCTGTGGTGTAACTACACGATTAAACGAATTTAATTTCGCGTATACCGTGATCGCGGTGTTGGACTAGGTCGGCTTGGAAGAAGCGAACTCGTCGAGAACCAGATAGCAAGTGATTTTCGAGACAGACCCTCTTATCCGCGATCGCGAGAGGGGAAATTTTCTGTCTCGTATTAATTTTGAATCCTCTCTGTTATTTCGGCGTAGTAACACCGGTTCTCATGGAACCGTTACTGGGCCGATCGCGTGACTATTATCGAAGGTAAATTTGGATTTTTTCTACACGGTATTGCTCCCGAAGCAGGTTACGACGCAGAGAAGGCTCTGGAATGTCGCGAACACTGAGGACAACACCGTATAAGAAATGTCCCCTTTTTTCTATAGATCACGCGAGAATTTAACCGCCGTTTCTTAACAATGAATTAACGCGTTATTTAAACATACCGCCCCCCTTGCACGGTCCGTGCAATGAAAAGAGAAGCGGTAATTCGCGGTCATTATGCAGAGAGGATTTTTCACTTAATTAATAAAATTAAGTTACTTACTTTGACGAGGTCGGCTTGCTCGCGTTCTGCTGCCCTTGCAGCAGCTGGAGGGACGTCAGGACCGCCCGTGTCACCATGTTTTCCGGTGGCTGGTCCCCCTGGCGTTGTGCCCCCGGCCTCTGCGCCCCCGCCTGGCGTTTGGCCTTCCGGCGTTGGCGGTTGCGTTTCGCCGACCGCCCCCGTCCCTGCGGCTGCGGGGCCTCCTCCGCCGGCCGTTTCCTGGCTGCCGTTGGGGTGGTCGCGTCGGCGTGGGCGTTGGGTTGGGCGACCGGCGTTGTCGGCTCTTTTCCGGGGTGGAAATTGCAGCCGACAAGCCGGCCGCCTCGGGCCCACTTTAGCTCGAAGTGGCCGCCCTCCGCCGGGCACCGGTATCTCCGGGTGGTCCAGGGGATGTGCCCTGGGACCCGGATCATTTCGGGCCCCAGGTGGACATCGTAGGTGGGCAGCTGCCCCCTGATGGCCTGCTGCGGAGGTGATCGGGGCTGTCGACCAGTGGTCCGGGTTCTGGTTCCGGGGCGGTGGAGGTCGAAGGCCTCGCCTCCTCTGGGTCCGTCTCTGCCCCCTTTTTGGGGGCAAATACCTCCCCCAGTTGGAGGAGGCGCCCAAATTGGACCTCCATTTCGGGGTCCATGCGGTCACCTTCCACCACTGTCACGACACTCTCATCGCTCGACATTTGCACTTTTTCCGCACGAGAAGATACTACGAACTGAACAGATTCGGCCCGGGGATCCTGCTTTTAAAGACGAGGATCTCCCGGAATCGGGGATCGCTCCCTTCCTCAATCCCAGACGGGAAGGTAAGGGTATGGTTCCCCTCTGTTCGTAATTCTCACCTGAGATATGTAGAACGTGTGAGACAACAACATGTTTGTATCTATTGTCTTTCTCGCTCTACTCTGTCTCCTTGGCATGCGGAATTCGGGATACCTTATGTCCCGATAGCGTCGTCCTTGTTTATTGACGACGCGGACTCTTCCACGGGCAATTTACACAGACGTGTGATCGGACGTGTGTAGGTAGACTTGGCCGTGCGTACTTTTACTACACGCACGTGCCTGTCTCTGCCCGGAAAAATTTCCTCTATCCGTCCCATTTCCCATTGGTTTGGGGGGAGGAGAGGGTTTTGCACCAACACCAAATCGTTTGGTTTTAGCTGTGCGTGGGCGGTACGCCACTTGTAGCGATTCTGGAGGTGCGTGAGATAATCACGTGTCCAATGCCTCCAAAGTTGCTCATGGAATTTCTGAATCGCTCTCCAGCGTGTAAGCCGGGAAAGATTTTCAGTTTCCACTGACTCGACCGGAAGTGCATTTATAGGGCTTCCGATCAAGAAGTGGCCCGGTGTGAGAGGCGCATAATCCTCAGGGCTATCGCTTAAAGCGGCGATCGGTCGAGAATTTAAGCTCGCTTCGATCTTGCAGAGTAATGTCTGCATTTCTTCGCTTGTTGGCGCGAATTCGCCGAGAATGCGTTTGAGGTGATGTTTCACCGATTTCACACCGGCCTCTTGCATACCGCCGAAATGGGGTGCACTAGGTGGATTAAATTTCCACTTAATACCCCTTTGGCCGCACTTATTGCGCATTTCCGGTGTATTGTACACGATATTGAAATGTTCTCGCAATTCTCGATCCGCACCGACGAAATTCGTTCCGTTATCACTGAACATGCAGGACGGAACTCCTCGACGGGCTATAAATCGATCTAAGGCGGCCAAAAATGCACTTGTTGTGTAATCATGCACGAGTTCGATATGCACGGCTCTCGTAGCAAAGCAGACGAATACTGCTATATATGCTTTGTGAGCCGTTTTTCCGCGTCCGGCGGAGTCACGGACCCGAAATGGTCCTGCGTAATCGACTCCGCAGTTCGAAAAAACTCGTGCAGCGCGGCTGCGTTCCGGAATTAAATCCTGCATTATCTGCGTGGAGGCGTTTGCTTGCCATCTCACGCATCGAATGCAATTATGGATGACCGTACGCGCCGCATTACGACAACCGATGATCCAAAATTTTTGTCTCACCGTGTACATGGTTAATTGCAAACCCCCGTGCAACGTATCAACGTGGCATTGCCTGATTATCATGTTAGAAACATGATGCTTTGGCAGAATTATCGGGTGTTTTGTTTCCCATGCAATTGCTGCATTCTCCAGCCGTCCACCCACTCTCAAGACGTCTTTGTCGTCGAGAAAAGGGTTTAGGCTTTTTAACGGAGACTTTGCAGGAATTCCCTTCTGCTTTTTTAAGCTTTGGTACTCCTCCGCAAAGTGCATGCGTTGCAGGTAGCGCACAATTCTTTCTGCTGCACGCTGTAATTCCGGCGCTTCGACGATTTTGGCATCGAATGACCGTCGCTCGCCCTCCCCACGTCTTCCTTAATCGAAGACAGTAGGCGGTTACGCGAAGTAGCTTACTCCATTTGGAAAATCGGAATACAAAATCCCATTCCTTTTCCGGAGTTGCTACGAGGGTATGCGATACGCGTTTACCCTCCTCGGTCTCGATCGAAACAGGCGTTTTTGGCCAATTTTCTCTCGTTTTCCGAAGCCACGTCGGGCCTGAAATCCAGAGCTCTGACTGAAGGAGTTCCGCCGCGTCGACCCCACGCGAATTTAAATCCGCAGGGTTCGATCGCGTGGGAACATGATTCCATTCAGCGTTCGGGAGAATCGTCTGGATTTTCGACACGCGGTTGGCGATTACAACCTTCCATGTCGAGGCGTGCTTCCTTAACCAAGCTAGTGCAATCGTGGAATCTGTCCAGCAGATTATGCGGTCCACCTTTATTGAGAGGGACCGCTTCACGTGCAACACCAGCTCGGAAAGGAGTACAGCCCCGTTCAACTCCAGAACGGGGATGGACTGCGTTTTGATCGGAGCGACTCGCGTTTTTGCCATTAGCAACGTCGTAAAAACTTCGTTGCTTATCGTCGTCACGCGTAAATACGTGACGGCCGAATAGGCCGCGAGCGAGGCGTCGCAGAAACCATGCAATTCTATTGACACCGTATCAGCTCCGTAACGTATCCATCTGGGAATTTTTAATTCCTTTAAGCTGCTCCAATCCGTACAAAACGCGTTCCACGTTTTTTGCGTATTCGCGGAGATTTGATCGTCCCACTGGATTTTCTCCAGCCACTGAGACTGCATCAAAATCTTTGCGCGAATTACAACCGGCGATAGCCAGCCGAGCGGATCGAAGAGCTTGGCAATCTCCGAAAACAAATTTCTTTTTGTCATCGGTGTTGCCGACGGTTGGAACCGTTGGAGATTGAAATAGAAATAATCTCCAGACGGTATCCATCGTAAACCGAGCACCTTTAGTTCGGAGTCATCGAACAAAGTGAGGTCTACTGCGTGGGAGTGAGAGCTGTGGGGGATATTTCGCAATAATTGTGGCGAATTTCCGGCCCACTTTCTCAGCTGAAACCCACCTCCTTGCAGGAGCTCGCATACTTGCGTACGGATTTTCTCCAGCAAGGATTTATCTGGTGCTCCCATGAATACATCGTCGACGTAAATGTCCTTCTCGAGGATCGGAGCGGCAAGCGGAAATTTCTTTCCGTCCTGCTCCTTTAACTCGAGAAGGGTACGCATCGACAGGTATGGGGCGCACGCCGTTCCGTATGTGACGGTATTTAATTCGAACGCTGTCAGCTGTTCGTTTTCGGGTGCACTCCATACAATGCATTGGAAACGACGATCCTCTGGGGCGACGAGAATCTGTCGAAACATCTTCTCGATATCGGCCACCAGCACGTATTCGTACAAACGCCATCTCGTTAATACCGAGGTAATGTCGTTTTGTAACTTTGGACCTACGTGAAGGATGTCGTTTAGGGAGCGTCCACCTGCCGTTCTGCTGGTCGCATTGAATACGACCCGCAGTTTGGTGGTCGCGCTGTCCGTACGAATGACCGCTCGGTGCGGAATATAGAGTCTAGTTTGGTCAATGGGCTTTATGCGCGTCATATGACCTAACGACTCATACTCCGCTAGAAACTCTGCGTATTCTTTACCGAGGGTCGGGTTCGTGTCCAGTTTCCTCCTCAGCCTTGTGAGAGCAGAGAGCGCGATGTGGAATGAATTTCCCAACGCCTCCTCCGGTCTCGGGTAATTGAGGGGTAGTCGGACTACAAACCGACCTGTTTCGTTACGGGTAACGGTTTTTTGGAAGAATTCTTCGCATTCCTCCTCTGCTTTAGTGCGCATGGAGGTTGCGGGAATTTCTTCCATTTCCCAGAACTTTCGAACCGCTTGATCCAGCGTTTCGAGTACGGTGCAGTGCAGTGTCCGCACCGTGTTCTGAGCGCCGCCCCCTGCTTCTATCGGCCCGGATATTACCCAGCCGAATGCAGTTTCTTGGGCGATGGGACCTGCGTCGGTTCCTCGACGGAAACCGGATCGCATAATCTGCGCATACAGGTCCGCGCCGATCAAAACTTCAATGGTTTGATCAGACGTGGGGTCGGGGTCGGCGAGCGGTAGGTCATGGAACGCTTTGTTACCGAGCGTTCCTACCGATGGAGTCGCGTACGTCGTGATTTGAGACACGACATACGCATCTACCTCACACATCGGTTTCCTACCGTCTCTTTCGCCTAAACTCAGTCCGACACTGTATTTGATCGATTGGGTTCGGTCACCCCCCAGGCCCGTCACCGTGGCTGGGGTTTTCCTCCGCGCGAGCTTAAGGTCATTGACCAAGTTCGCGGCTATGAAGGAAGTTTCCGATCCCTGATCAAGTAGCGCGCGCGCGATTCGCGACGCACCATTTTTGCCGAATACTCGTACTCGAGCTGTCGCTAAAAGCACTGGCCTCGGTGCGCCTGTACCGAGAGCGGTACAATGCGATGTCGAGGCGGGTGTCGTTTTAGCACTCGCCGAGTAATTGGCCTTCGGCCTCGGTTTCGTAGGCCGGCGGGATGGGGCGTTTGAAAGCCTCTCCTCACGGTTGCCGAACTCAGGATTTGGTATCGGCTGATTCCGCTGAGGTTCCCGTTCTTGGTCGAAGTGCAGCAGGGGATGATGCATCCCGCCGCACTTCGTACATGCCGTCGAACTCCTGCATTTCGTCACCGTGTGGGTGGTGCCCAAGCATTGTAAGCACCACCGACGGTGTCTGACATATTGACTGCGCATTTTTGCAGTCAATAGCCCGAAATGGTTGCAGTTCGTCAAACCGTGCGGCCCGTTACAGAACCCGCACGGTTTCGTGGCCGGTTTTCCAACATGCCTAACGTTGTCTGAATCCGTTTCCCTTGGCTTTTCAGCCTGGACGTGTTCCATGACAACGTTGTGGCTTCTCACGTTTCTCGAAGCGGTGCCGTTATCGCGCACCGAGCTTCGATTGTGCGTGGTTTTTGTTGGAAGCCCCAGCGCGGCTTTTCTGCGCTCCTCGTTCATTGAGAGCAAGGCACGTGACCGTTTGTCAACGAACTTCCTTACGTCCTCGAACGTAGGATATTCGGACGAGAGGTCTAGCGTTTTTTGCCATTCCAGCTCCATTTCGGGGGTGAAATGTTGCTTCACCCAATGAGCGAGGAGCCAATCTCGTTGCTGTTCGGTGT